TATGAATGTAACTACTCCTTAATAGTTAAGCTAGAGCTTGGCACTGCTGCTGGGTAGAAACAAGGTACTGGGCTGGACAAAACAAGATGGAGGGCCGGATTTGGCCCATGTGCCTCCTGTTTGCCACCTGTGCATTATATGTTTAGTCTTCCCAGAAAAAGTCCAGTCATTGTTAATATAATGAGAAGAGTTTGTGCAACATCCATGTAACTTGGCAGTCAAGGAGAGTGGGCTGGAATGCATACTCATGAAAAATGACAACTTTACTGTACTAGTCAGTGGGAGTGGTAGACACCATTGAGTGAGCATGTGTACTGTGTGGCTGTCACATTTAAAATGACTGAGCAAGTAGACCAATGAATCTGCATCAAATTTTGCATTAAATTTGAACATTCCTCTGCAGAAACTATTCAGACGATTCAGAAGGCTGTAGTTACAGACAACTGGTGATCAGCAACTTCATCACGACAATGAGTCTGCTCATGCATCACATCTCATGCAGAGTTTTTTTGGTCAAACATCAAATCACCCAGGTGATTCAGCCTTCCTACCACCCAGATATGGTGCCCTATGACTTCTGGCTTTTCAAAAAACTAAAATCATCTTTGAATGGGAAGAGATTTCAGATCAGCAATGAGATTCAAGAAAATGCAGTGGGGCCACTGTTGGCAATTGGGAGAACTGTGTGAGGTCCCAATGTGCCTACTTTGAAGGGGACTGGGGCATCATTGTCCTATGTACAATGTTTCTTGTATCTTGTATCTTCTTCAATAAACGTCTCTATTTTTCATATTATATGGCTAGATACCTCCTGGACAGACCTCGTATATGTTTAAAGAATACATTCTAGTCAACCTTCATGGTGAATTAAAATGGAATTTCTAGAGAAACCAAGTAGGCTGAAAGAACTTTAAGGCATTGAACGTAATCTACAGAGCAGCCCTGCAGTTCAGAGACCACATGCCAGTGATACAGAGACACTGGTCAATTACACAGGACGATCAAGGCACTGTGATTTTCATGGAAAGGATAGAATGGAGGCTAATGCATGATTACATGCAAAAGGCAAATTTCATTTTCAAGCACTTATAAGTATAATCAGTTGTTATTGAAAAGAAAAAAGAGTATAATAAGTGTATGTAAAACACCTTATAGTGGCATCTTCCACATGGGATTTATTGTAAGAGATCTGTACTACAAGTGAGCAGCACTAGCAGCAGGTTTTAGGGACTAGAAACCCACACCAAGGTTAAATAGATCCTCATCCTCCCTCTGCCACATACTGCTAGGCACCCTATCCTTTCTATGCCTTCATTTCTTCAGTTATAAAATAAAAATAAAAATAGGGCCAACTCATGGGTATTATGTGAATTAAGTGAGGTAATACAGGTAAAGCATTTGGAATAGTGTCTGAGACATAGTAAACACTCAATAAATATTTCTTTTTCCTCTTCTTTTCCCTCCTCTATTTCCTCTTTCTCTTTCTCTTCTGTTTCTCACATAAATAAGGTACACTATTTGATTAGACTTTTGGGTTTCTATAAACAATATTATAAATATGCAACTTGTAATATTTCAGTTGGAGACATGTTATATTTAGATCAGCTCCTCTGAGGTTTTGTATTCAGCCACTTAAAATGGTCAGTTAATTTTGTGTCTTACTAAGGGCACTGTACTCCTTAGATATCATTCCTCTGTTTACATTTTTTTCATGTTCTCTACTCCAAATTATCTAAAGAGCTTAGAATTTACACTCAAGCCTGAAGGCTAGTAAAACTTTCAATCAAACAACTAGTCTGAAACTTCTAGAGGCCCTACCTAGACCTAACCTAAAGGTAGCGGGAGACTCAGCACACGTCTGAAGACTCATCGGGAGGAGTGATGCAGCTGACCGCAGTCGGTCTGGGTCCTGTCGATGAGGAACCCTGCTGTGCACCTTTGATGTACTGCTGCTCAGAAGTATGTTATGCTTTCATATCAAAGATGAAGGAAAATCTCTGGGAAGGTGAATGTATAATCATGTCAGCTGAGGATTCCACAAAGAAAATCAACTCCTTTAACCCAAAGAGAGTCCCAGAAAGACTCAGAGACAAGGTAATCCAATATCAAAAAATGATATATATAAAGACAGTCATTGGTTTCTAGCAACATACTATTTTGAAAAATGTCCCTTTTCCAGAAAAGTACAGACCTCTAAAATAAAATGCTTTTAAGAACAGCCAATTAAATCAGAAAATTAAATAAAAAAATAAAACATGTTAAACTTCTTTGCAACAATACATAGCAGTTTACAAAAATTTATTAGCTTGTATTTAAAAAATTCTCAATAAATGTGAAAAAATATTTAAATTAGGCATTCTTTTTATTATCAGTTCAATTTTGCAAAATGTTAAGCTAAAGGGTGTTTAATTAACTAATGCAGTTGGATTTAGATTGACAACTCTTCCTGCATTCCCATATTCCATAAAATAAAAAGCAGTGACAGCGTGCTATCCTGATGAAGGTGCTCAAACTGTAGTGTGTGATTTTCCTCAAACGCTCTTTTGGAGGAATATTTATCTTAATGCTGATCAGGGTGGTCTGCTCTAACTGTACTTTCAGGAAGAGTACTTTATAAATGGCCCTAGAGATGAAGAGAGTTCCAATGCACAGACATAGTTGAACTTGTATTGTGGTATTTTAAAATTCTGATGGCTACCTGCTGCGTATCAATGATCTAAATATCATCTGAAAATCCAACAGTCAACTTTTCTGCTATAACAAAAAAGAAAAAAGTCTTCTATTTAAATCTTGGTATTTATTTAACTTGATATCTCATTATCATAAGGTAGTTCCAATGCACTGAATTACTATCTCCAGCTTTATCATTCCTTGCTGCATTAAACACTAAGGATTGTCCTTGGAATAACTGGCAATATTCTAAAAACCTATTTCCCAATGTGTATTTTATAAAACACTCTCTATGAGATGCTACTTATAAAAAGATTTTATGACCAAACGAGAAATGCTAGCTACTCCATCTTTATTGCCAGCTCTGAGTTTACTTAGAATAATACACGCGGGCTGAAAGCAAGGCAGTCTAAGCTTTGTTCCCTGCCTTAGCTCCAAGCCTGTAACGACGCCTTTCCATTCCCAGGCGTTCGGCAGGAATACAAGACTGAACGAGCAAATGAATTTTAAAAGCTCTGAACAGTTCTCCACTCAATACACTTCTTTCATTTTTCTCTCACACACAGTATCCCACACCTATTTAATCACAGGTATCTTTCGCTTGTTCTGGTAGCAATACAGAATATCTTATTACAAACAAAAGAAAAGAGAGCACAGAGAATAGTAACAAGCATGCATGCCACCATTATCTATTTTAAGAATTAAGTTACAAACACAATAGGAGCCTCTTGGGAACCCTCTTCCACATATTCACCTCATAGCACACATCATGCCCAAGTGAGGTAACCCCAACATCAGGACTAACACTCACATGAGACTTACTAATACCCCACTTGGAGAAATCCTGAGCTGGGGGGAATGCTAAAATCCCTTTAAACACTAAGATTTTAATTGATTTCGATATAGTATGCATTTTACAAATGGTCATCCGTAAAACTATCCACTTACTGCATTAATACAATAAGTATGAAATAAAAGAAATAACACTATGATACAGAAGCAAGGCAATGGACAACTGATGCAATGATGAATATAAAGAAGCTAAGCAGCTTCTTTCACAAATAAACTCATATAAAATCTAAAAATAGATACATGCATATGTCTTAGGTCACCGCATACACACACAGTGACCTGAGAAAAGTTAAAAATATGTTCCTTAACCTAACCTGAGTAATTTAGAAACCACTCTGTACAATTGCAGAGAAAATTACCCTAACAATTCTGACATACTCACAAAACCGCCTGAGGCTGCAGAAGTAACACTGTGGCTCATCAGTGCACAGCATGCCCACGGTTATGTGATAGATGCTGCGAAGAAGGGGAGGAGACCCTCTTCCTGAGCTCAACACACAGTTAGTAATAAAACAAATCTCCTTTAATGGGATCCAGCACACTATGACAGAGAAGCACCGTGAGCTAATAGAGCCCAATAGGAAAAGAACTATTTTTTTTAAAGATTTTATTTATTTATTTTTAGGAAGGGAAGGGAGGGAGAGAGAGAGAGAGAAACATCAATGGGCGGTTGCTGGGGGTTATGGCCTGCAACCCTGGAATGTACCCTAGCTGGGAATTGAACCTGGGACACTTTGGTTCCCAGCCCACACTCAATCCACTGAGCTACGCCAGCCAGGGCTGGAAAAGAACTATTTTAAAAATTTTAGTCAGTATTTTTCACAGCCTTATTTTGGTGAAACTTTTCTGCCTCAAATTTTCAAGTATCATTATAGATACGGTAATTCTGAACTGTCTTAAAGCATGCTTTGAGTATGCCCTAACTGAATGTTCTGCATATTTGTCCCTTGCTTCACATAAAGGATAAAAAGGCTTAATACAATATATGCCTGTATTGCCCTATTTCTTAATTTTATTTATAAAGGATATTAAACAGTCAAGTTAGTGAAAGAAAAAAAATAACAGTTGAACCCAATACCTGCTCTGTGTAGAAAATCACATGTACAATGAAACAAAGAACCAGAGCAACAAAGAATACGAAGATTTTTGGTGTATATTAGCCCTAATCCTCTCAATCTTAATCCTAGTCATTATCCCAATACTCCATACATCAAAAGAAAAAAGCGCAGCATACAAAATTTTCACTGGTCATTGCGTCATGTAGTTTTTATAGGTAAGTACATGGATTAGAAACTCCCTTCACTCTTCAAACCATTTCACTTTTCAAGCCAACCCACTGAATTTGTCTCATGTTAAATGCCAACAGAGAGCAAAATATGACCTTGTTCATCTGGAAGCCCAAGTGCTTTCTTACACTTACATTAATGAAATGGATTAGTGTCTAAAAAATATTTATAAGAAAAAGTGTCAATTCCTACCTCCATTATCTTTTAGATGTAGTGCTATCTTGGTATCATCTGAAAGAGAAATTCAAAGTTATTACAAGAGAAAAAAATTTAAACATGCATAAATCTCATGAGCAGTAATTGTTTATTAATGCCTTAAGATTACATGAATAGATTTTAATGCTTTACTGAGTTAATTTCTAGTTCAATGAGAGCAAATCCTAGCTTACATGATGTAGTACTGAAATGTCTTCGTGAGATTGTAAGGTCTGAGACTTTAGTAAAATGTTATATGAGTCTTAAGATCTGTGAGAAAGTACACTGTTATAATTGTAAATTAAAACACATTTATTTTTAAGTTTCTAAAATGAGTTACTGTTTTTATATGTTATAGTATGACCTTTATCTATTTTAAATATTAAGATCAAGAAAATTCTAAATTATTTGGAATAGTAAAGATTTGTCAATATTTACAAGTTTAAATTCAAAAGTTAAATGCTTATTCATTGCTAATGAACATACCCAACATTGCATGAAAAAATATCTTTAATGGACAAAATATAAGTAGGACACTTTTTTATTTCAGTAGTTTTGTTTCATTTTAAAAGGTAGGATTCAAATTGTTGGAATATTTCATAGGGTAGGAAACTGCAAAAATATTTTCATAAGCTATGTAACAACCCAAATCATATGGATTAATATATAATGTTGGTTTAAAATATCTAAATGAAATGTACTTAGCAGCTGTTCTCCACCTCCCTTTATCACTTTCAGTTAAGTTTTAAATTTCAATTAAAATAAAAGGTTTCAAGTTTAATTTCTTATTCAAATGAAAGCAAGATTTATGAGAGTAAAGAAGTGAGACAATCCCCCCAAGCCCCTCCCCCCATCCAAGCTTGCTCTTGGCCAGCTAGTCTCATATTGTTCTTAGTGGGGCTATTCAGAACAGATGGTTAAACTTTGGCTACAGACCTCTTCCCCCAATGAGTTGTACCTGTGCATTAATGGTTTCTGGTATGTTTTCCTTCCCTGGCAGAGGAAATGTTTCCAAGGACAATTTCTGTGATTTATACAGTGCCTTTCTATAGGTTATGGACCAACATATTTTATTGATTGTATTCAGGAAAATGTTAGAAGTTCATATGAATAGAATTATCTATTATTCAGAATCCAACATCAGTGGACATTTTAAATGAATTTTGCCTTTCTATCCTGTGACTAAAATATCAAATTCAGTTACTGCAAAGTTCAGCAGTATGAAAGGAAGTCTATGTTTCTTTTCCAGGGAGGGCAAACAGTCACTATTGGGAGGCACAGTACATTATGAGATGCCCCACACATATTTTTATTCCGTAATAATTTTGTCTTTTCCCTTTCAGAAATTCAGTTTGTTTTTAAAAAACAAACAACAAAAAAACTTTTCCCTCGAAAGAGCTACCCCAGGACATGTGAACACCATGAGCCTTCCTCCTTTAGGAAAACGCCACAGTGTCTCCAGGGCACCTTCGGTGGGCAGGCTGGTGGGCAGCTGGGACGTGGCCGCTCTGCGGGTGGTCGTCAAGACCCGGAACTGCGTGGTGGTCGCTCGCGTGGTTGTGGTGGTCTGAGAAGAACTTTCCACTGGCTCTGTGTTCTCACACATCTTCTCTTTTGACTAATGAGAGAAACAAGTGGGAAAACAGTTTAAGAGTAATCATGTATTTTTAAAAATTACATCAGAGAAGGTGGTCTGGAAAGCACAAAAGACTCAAATGAACACAAGGGATACATTTTTGTACAGGACTATTTTTAAGGTTCTGTTAATTTACAAACAGGGTAAAATAGAGGAGAGAGAAAGTTGGATGGAATGAAGCATTGCCATCTTTAGATGTTTGGATTTCACCGTTTTCTACTGATAACCTTTCTGTTTACCATAATATTGCTGTTTATCTTGCCCTAACTTTTATATCAATATATTTGTAAAAGACATAATGTCAAAAGGGAAAGGTTCATACAAGAAGAAAAATATGTGCATAATACATGCTTAAGGGTTAGAACATGCTTAGGTATGTGAAGAAAGAATGAATTCCCTTCGTATCAAACTGATAACTATAAATTCTAAAAATTTGATATCTATTCCATACTACTTTATTGTTTAAGAACAATCCCCCTAAAGATTGAATGGGTATGTAAAATTTGTTTTTTCTTTGTGAAATACTGAAACCACCCAAGCAAAGGATTGGACAGTTGTTGTGTGGTCGCTTAGCCTGTCTTTTCTCTCAGACACCAAGGAAAGGTGCATATCATGCCTATTACTACTTACAGCCTATAAAGATAAATCCTATAACCTTCACCAGTAACAATCTTCAACATTCAAACTTGTATGGTTTAGAAGTTGGTGTTTCTCCCCACCTCTCTGTACTTCAAAAAACTCCAAGCCTCTGATAGCCCTGGACAATAACTGGGAAGGTTCAGGGAAGGTACACGTGCCACATTTGAATTTATTATTAAATAAGTACCTTAAACTTTTCTGGTCATTAATGAAATACAGTGCACTTTACTGCTGCTTTGGAAGAGTTCCTGAGATAGCTTTCTTTTTACCCACTGGATGTGACACAGGCTTATTCTCTATTTTATCATCCCAGGGCTCCCATCAGTCCCCTAACTTTAGTTCCTGCATCTCTTCAGCCCCAGAGGTCTCATGGTCTCCCTCTTGACTCCACGTAGTTGTCATCTGCACACCCTGCACCTTATCTGCAGCTGGAAATACTTCAGATCTGAAATAATGACTCCAGTTAATCTATCTTCAGCCTACCATGTACCTGTTCACTCAACTTCTTCTTGTACTGTGACTACACAGAAAGCCCAAGCACGATAATTTTCTTCCTTTAAGTCTTTTTTTCCCATCACATCAACTTCTCTTTTCAATAATATCATGTATTTTTATACTATTTTTCTTCCTATATCACCTTTTCAGTAAATCACCAATACTGAATACAGTAAAAGAAAATCTGCCTTCTCTTGCCCGCTCCCAAACCAGGCACAGCTGGGGAACATTCGCACAATCCCCCACAGGGAGCTCTGCAAACTCACCTCCAGCATCCTCAGCGGGGCCTCTGGGGCCGCTTGGCCATACTGGCCCACTCTGCTAACCTCCTCACCCTTCACCCTGAGTATCAATTTCAAACCCTCTGCACTCTACTTAAAAACTCTAATCCCATAATGCCTCTTTCCATTTTACTCCTTGGGCTCACCTTTTATTTCCTAAATAAAAGAGCCATCAGCAAGAATTCTTTAATTTTCTGTACAAATCAGCATTTATTTGTTTGAATCTCCTAACCTATCAATTCCTTCTGATATTAAAGATGGAGTACATTATTTATAGCTATTCTCTCAGTCTCCACACCGGTCCAACTCAGCCCAGCTTCTCGGGAATTGTCAACTTCCTCCCACTGGGAGAAGTCATAGATATCTCAGACTCCTTAAGTCTAAAATGTGACCTGCCACACACATATTAGTCTCCTCCCGTGTTTCTAATTCCTCCCCACCAAAAAAACCCAGTATTGTCAAACACCCTAAAGTTTGAGGAAATTATGGACTTTATGTGCCTATGCTAGTAAAGATAAAGACTATAAATGCAAGTAGAATAGAATACAGATAGATCATGGATAAAACATGAATTTTAAAGCATTTCTAGGATTTGCAGGAAGGAAAGAAAATCTCCAAGAGTGCCTCTCTACCGCTCCACAAAACAAAGCAGTAGCTACGCACCATATAGACAGTAGGGGCAGTGTGCACTACACAGACAGGGAGGGTTTGCTTTGAGGGCAACAACATCAAAAATCAGCATGCTCGAAGGAGTTCAGGCCGTATGTCAGCACTAGATGGGGGAGAAAAAGCTACATCTCTCCTTCTCATATAAAGGAAGAGGCGCAGAATTCTCTAAAACCCTCTGGTTCCAATCATCAAACCCCCTTTGGGGGAAAGCACCACCTATTCAGGTCATAGGGATTCCCATGGAATAGAGCAAACAAATATGCATTTCTAATGAAAGGATACCAAAAGAAACAGAGAAAGAAAAAGAGAACCTTGACAAAGAATAGAAACAATGAATGCCTTATGTACATTACCAAAAACTTTAGACACAGGAATCACCTAATATAAAATATTTTAAATCATATAGGAAATAATTTAAATAAGTGAAAGGTACAATTTAAAAATAACTAATATAATAGGCTATAAAAGTGACCTGGCAGATTTAAAAAAGGTGCCTAATGTAAATTTTAGAAATAAAGATATATTTCTTGAAATTAAACAAGGGAGAATTAATAATCTGGCAGCTATATCTGAAGAAATTTCGCAGGATGCAGCAGAGAAAAACAAGGTAGATGGTTCACAAAGGACATAAAAGATATAAGAAAGTGATCAGAAAGCAAAGCCTAACTCCAAAGAGCTCAGAAGGTGAAAAAGAAAATGGGGAAGTCAGATTAAATAGCACATTTATCAAGCTTGACACCCAATTGATTAGAAAACACATTTTTCGAGTACATGTAGATCATTGGTTCAAATTGCCCATGTGCTATTTTATAAAAAAGTACCAACCTATTTTAAAGAACCAGTGCCATGTTGAATATACTTCCTAACAACAATTTAATTAGAAGTCACTAGTAAAAATATCAATTTTTAAAATGCCCGTAATTTAGAAATGCGATACAATTCATAATTCAATGTAATTACAGTAATTATATTAATGAAATTGACAGATGGATTACAGATCTTGACAAGTTGAATCCAAAATTTATATAAAGAACTAAAGCCCCCAGATGGTCAAAACACTTCTGAAGAAAGAGGGAGGAGACCTGCCATATTGGTAGTAAAATTTCTTATATAACTACAGTAATTAAAACAGTGTAACACTGGTCAGGATATTGAAACATTGAGTATTAGAGGAGGAGATCCAAGAAACCAATCCCTGTCTGTGTGAAAACTCTATAAGAAAAAGGTGCCTTTGAAAGAAATTGCCAGAAGGAAAGACTACTCAGTAAATACTGCTTGAAGTTATCCATAAAGGGGAGATCCTGCAAAACTGAATTTCTATATTATACAGAGAAACGAATTCCAAATGGAGTAAAGATTTTAATGTGAAAGACAGAGTTTTACAACACTTGGAAGAACACTTGAAAACAACCTTATGAAATTAGGTAGAAAAAATCTTTTTAAACAAGATACACATACACAGAAAACTAAACATAAAAGATTAATTAGACACATTAAATTTTCAATAAATGGTAACTAAAAAATATAGAGGAACCAAAAGGATGATCCAAAATTTGGAAGAAAATATATACAAGTGGAGATAACAGAGCAATAATACAACAAAAAATATAGTTAAATGATATAAGGAATATAAAATAAGAAGCAAAGCTGTCATTACTTACAGGTGATATGATTGTTTTAATGGAGAACCACTGCGTGTTTTAAAATATATGTTTTTTAAATTAGGAAGAGAGTTTTGTAAGGTGGCCATCAATCCGATTTGCTATGTCTGTTACATATAATCAATAAAGACTTGTTGTTACGAATAAAGAGATAACAACTCAATTAAAAAATGAGAAAGAGATATGAACAAATATCTCAGAAAAGACAGAAGAAGAAACATAGAAGTTAAAAAGCATATGAAAGTATAACCAATTTCACTAATGATTGATAAATGTAAATTAAGTTCCCAATAAGATACCATTCTAAGTTCCCAATACAATTTGCAGAAATGAAGAAACATGACCAAACTGGGGTTGTCAGGATCGTGGAATAATGAGAACTTGAGGACCAGTACTGTGCTGGTTGTGTGGTTTGGCATTGACTTTCAAAGTTGAACATTTACCTAACTGACATTCAGTAATTCCACTTTAAGGAATATTAGAGAAACTTTTGTGCATTTGATTCAGGGGACAATCATAAAATCTTTTTTGTATAGAACAAATCTAGAAATAATGTCCATAAACAGAAGATTGAGTGAAAAATATACGACTATGAGAACATAGATCTAGGATGGCGGGGTTCAATGGCTTTGCTCTGTTCTCCAGTTGTGTCACTAATGTACCCTGGCACCTGAACAGTGCCTGGGACACAGGGGCACACAACACATATTTGATGAGTCAGTGAAGAGGATATTCATACCATGGAATATACAGCTATGAATGTAAGCCACCACCACAAGCACCACCCGGTACAAGTGGTGAGAACAAATTCTGAGTGATAAACTCAAAATTCAGACTGGTTTTACTTATTTTTAAGAGGGAGAGGCAAGGGTGCAATGGAGCTGAAGCAAAGAACCAGTTTTATAGTCATCAGTAATTCCATTTCTTTAACTGGGTAGTACAATCATAAATATTCATTTTTATTGTTTTCAAACTCCAGTTATTTTATAAAACTGTTTAAAAATTTTTCAAAAGAAAAAATTAAAACACTTTCATAGCACTCATTTCCATTCAACTAGCTACCTAAGGATCCTTTCATCAGCCCACCCCTGTGGTCTCCACCCACCCCTGTGTTCACCACCACCTTCCTATTATTTTAGTCCTGATCATCAGCATTATTGATCTATATGTGTACAGATCAAAGTGTGTGTATACATGTATAGCTAAAGACAACTTATTGGCCTTTTTCACTATAATCCATTATTTACCCACAGCCAGGGTGATTCTTTAAAAAGTCATTTGGATCAATTCGTCCACTTAACTGAAACCCTTCAGGTAGTTTTTCTCTTGCCCAACATAAAATCCAAATTCCTTCCACTTGTCACATTTTTGCCCTTGCTTACATCATCTATGTCATCTCTTGCTACTCCTCTTCAGTTACCCTTTAGTCATCACCTTAAATATCACCTCTTCAGCAAACCTTCTCTTATTCCACTTAGCAAGACCATGCACTTGCAGATACTGTGTCTTTGCCCATGCCATTCTCTGAGTGAGGCCCTTTGTCCAGTGGTCGACCTACCCAATGGACACGCTTCTTATGCACTTCCACGTTACTGATGCTTAGAAGAGTAGATGTAAGTGCTCATATTAGGATTTGTACTTATTGAATAAACTCATCTCAAAATGAGAAAGAAAATTTAATCTTGGTTTTAGGTATGGAAAATGGATTGGAATCAGTGACCTTGTTTCTTATGTATAAAATAAGGGTGGAACTGCTTACCATAAAGCTAGTAAGGTTGATAATGTAATTTCAGAATAAAATGGAAACACCAAATATAACAGAATGTCTTAGATTCCGAGATTCTTGGGAGTAGAGAGTAATTTTTTAAAAAATCTTTGTAATTTTAGTGCTTAGCACAGGCCAAAGAACATGGTAAATTCCCCATAAATATATTTAGGAGGGCATCAAATATGATGGATTCTTCTCCATGGATCATGGTGGGCCCACATTGAGGCAAGAAAATTGAGATGTCTGAATTATACCCTTAATCTTTATATAAATATAAATAATTGAGGTAACTGTGATTATATAAAAGAAATATCAAACTAATAACACAACTATGACTCTATCAATATATTTTCTTTTCAAACTATGTTGTTAAGTGAAGTGAAATAGTTGGATTAGTATATGTCACTGTAATTACCTACATGAATGTCAAAAGTTGACTAAAGTTTAAGAATATTCTCAAAGGTGTAATTTATCAAGATACTTATGAGATACCATACATAAAAACTTAAAATTAATAATCTAGTAACTATTGATCACCTAATAGTTTTTAAAATAGTACTTTGACAAGATTTGCTTTACTGAATGAGAAAAAAATCTATTATTTTAATTTAAAATTCATACCCTAAAACATAAAAAAGGGAGAAGAAACATACTTTTCTTTTTGAACTTTACGTGTGATACTTTACATGTATCTTTATGTGACCCTGAAATGACTGTAAATGCAATTCACTAAAAATCCTTTAAACAGGTTAAAACTGCCTCTGAATTGCACTCATTTGTTTGAATCACTTCATTGCATCACTGTCTCTATCATGTTTGCCTAGGAGTTACTGTGTCCATGTTATATCACTTCTAACTTATCTCAGTCCAATTTCCTGCAATCAATCTTTTCCTCCATACAAGTCATTTTACAATTTGAGTGAAAAATATGAAAACTGGCTTCCTAGGTCTTAGAAAAGCAGCATGGGTTTAAGAGAACTACCCTTTGCTCACGGAAAGTCAAATACTGGTTCTGTTATTCCCTAGCCACATTCCCAACTCTGGACACCCTCACTGCACTCCTCTCCGCACTTCCCTTCCCCCTCCCCCCTTCTCCTCTTGGTAATGTGAGGGCCATAACAGCTTGGACCTCACAGGGCAGGTATGAGAATAACTGAGAAAATACATACAGACTTAAACCCCAAGTCTGACACATATGAGGTACTCAATAACTGCTGCCTACTTTTATCAAATTAGATACCACTTTCATTAAGTTATTGCAGCTATACATGACAGTTTGGTCCCCAGAATTTTGTCATAATAAAGCACACGTGTACCTCTTCGGGGCATCCACTGTCCACCCAGTCCTGGCGATGACGATCAAATCCACTGGAACATCTTCAGAGAAGACCACAATGCAGTTCGGAAAAGGGAGTACAGGATACAGAGTGAGGGGCAAAAATTAAAAGGAAAAGATTGGTAAGTAGTTAATTCTCAAATTTTCAGTTTACCACAACAGAAGCATTCTTCTACAGACCTGGTAATCAGAGCAGTAGTGAAGAATTTCCACTGTTATATGTACCAGCTCACTCCCACATAGTTATCTTATTAGGATCAAACAAATGTCCCCATGGAGGCCCACTTCACTGTGCACCCACCCAGAGGTAGTAAGACTGACTGATGTTATATGAAGTTGGTGTTGCTCATTTTTATTTCTCATCACTCAAACACATGGATACAGAAAAACACTGTACAGGTATCACTTTGGGGGATTTCAGATCTTTTTGTTTCTCTTAAGTTTTTATATTTAAGATCCACAGTCATATAAACATGACTATATAGCAAAGGGTTATCTCAGTACGTCTGAGGTACTCAAACCCACACATTCCAGCTCCTGGGAGATAACCTCTAAGCCCTTGGAACATCCTGCTGGAGAAATGCAAGATAGCTTATGCTAACAATATTATTCATGGTGAGTGAATGTCTGTTTTATTCGCCAGAAGCCCCAGGCCATGTTATATCAGTGTGAACTCTGTGGGGCTGGAGATTAGAGATAAGGTTAGTCACAGAGAATTTCAGACCTACGTGACTTAGCCTCAGTAAAAACCCTGGACACCAAGGCTTGGTGGGACGGTTTCCTTGGCTGGCAGGACATGCTGTGTATGTTTGCAAACTGTTGCCAGGGGAGTTAAGTGCTGCCTGTATGACTCCCCTGTAAGAGGACAACTGGACGTTAGTCCTTCCTGGACTCTGCCCTGTGTGCCTTTCATCTTTGCTCATTTTAATCTTATCCCATTGCTGTAATAAATGGCAACCTTGGGTATAAGAGCTTTTCTGAGTTCTGTGAGTTCAGGATGAATCATTCATCCTGAGTGTGTTCTTGGGGATCCCTAACACTAGTATGATTACATCATACCTAAAAAGTCCAATTCAGCAAGCGCTGGGTAAGATTTCGTCCACTTTTCCTCTCTCCTTGACTGGACTAATTTCCTGCCCTCTAGCCACAGTCCATTGATTTTTTAAGACACAGAAATTACTCTCCAGAGTGCATTCTGATAAAGCTTCATAGTTCATAGTTGCTGTTGATCACATCTTACTTTACTATTTAACTTTTCTCCTTAATATATAATTTCATATGCCTATTTACCAAACTAGATGGTGAATACTTTAATGTTATGCCCAGTGTCACATATAATCCTACCTAATGTGTCTGACACATGATTTCATTTTCATATTACAAATTCAAAATATTTTTGTTAGTCTATGAAAATTAAAGGTTTATATTGTCCCTGAATTTTAATATCTATGTATACATTTATATATAACATATATAAATCCATATTGATGAATGCTAATCTAAAGATACTTATACATTTTTAAAAAATAAGTAGAGGCTGCTCAACTTTTGTCTTAAATTTTCTTACAGGGCTTACAGTGCTGCTTTTTTCCCCACTTGTTTTGCAGTGGGTCCACACGATGACTTATTCTAAGAATCTTTGCCAGACATTATGTACTATGGCATGAATGAGCATAATTTAATTCAAGTGGAATGTGAAAACAATTCTACTGTCAACAAGAACAACAAAAAAAAGACCATATCGATCATTCTGCCCAGATATGATTCACTAGAGTTTAGCTAGTTTATGCCTACCATCTGTGTTGAACAAGCTTAATGTGGAATAAACATCTCAGTGTGATCTAGCATGCTAACTTTGAAAGTCCCTAGGTGGTCAAGGCCTTCTCTGGTTACCCAACAAGAACCTAACAGTTTGGGTCTATTTAATTCCAAATGAATTGGATGGTTGTTCCCTCTTCTTCTTTTTGCCTTTTGAGTTTCTTTAAATATTGAAAAATGTACATACTGACATGGTCTTTTGCTAGATGGAAATATATCGATTTTCTACAATAAAAATATTTTTGGGAGCTACCTGACTACAAATAATTAAATGGAAAAGACAATTCTAAAAATGCAGTTTGTTTTCACACACTTTATTATAGCTGTATTCCAAGCCAGTGGGAAATAACATTTACCTTACATTATAAGAAGACAGTAGGAAATCTTAAATTTACAGGTCAACTGAAATTTTATATTAAGTAATTAGTCCTTTAAGTGGTTAAATCAATCCTCAGGAAAAGCCCAGAAACACTGCATTTTGCTTGATTTATTCAATAGTCCCCCAGTTATATTGTGTGAAATTAGGTTCTACTAAAAATATGTGATTCAATTAAACAATTCATTTATTCACAATTGATTCTCTATTAATTGATCTTCGGTTTACTAATTGCTAGGGTAGGAGGGACTGACAATGGCAAACACAAATAAGATTTGGTCTGAAGAGTGCATGCATTTTGTAGCTCACAGGTTCTTAATATTGTAACAACACCAGATGCAGCATTTTTTTTAAACACTTTTTCATACCTTAGTAATCTAAATAGTATCCAAAAGCAATTACAGACAGAAGTCTGAGTGTACGCTATAAATTATTAAGGAAAACCACCTTTATGTTATTTCTGAATTGAAAATAAACCAAAAATCATTTCTGAGAACAACTTCCACTGAGCTGCTGTGTTGTTTTTCCTAAAACACAGAGACATTAACCATGTCATGCTCTCACATATTAATTTCTCAAATTTTTCACACTGTTAGCAAAGAGGTTCTTCTACATTGTAATCACCCAGTATTCCTGTTGAACTATAAATTCCTGGGTCTTACTGTACAAAAAAGATTCTCTGGCAATTTGGGTCCAGCAATTTTCACTGTGGCACCCCAGGTGATTCTTATCAAACCAAAATGGGAAAACCGCTGACATCCTGTATGATAGGTCCACAAGGTAGGCCCCCCGCTCCTCTCCTGCCACCTCTACAACCTGTCCTCTTGCCCTTCAGTGCCCCTCCCTGAGTGCGCTGTGCTCTTTCCCATCTCCACCTTTGAACATGCTCTTACTTATGTTTGGAATACATGCCTTGTTTCTAATTAGTAAACCCAATTGAGCCCACCCAGAAGAATAAGTAACCCTTTTGCAGTGACCCCCAATATCAACCCAATGTGAAGTGCTAGCATGTATTATTACACTGCAACTGGTTCAAGACTCCAGGAGAGAACATGGTTCAAGGGGAGGTTCTGAAATCAAACTGCTTGAGAGATGGAATTTGGGTTTGGGCACAAAACAGGTATCTAATTTTAGGCAAGTTACATTTCCCATTTTAGTTTGTTTCCTCATCTTTAAAGTGAGGTAGGAGAGCTTATGTAAGAATTAAAGTGAGAGCCTGGTACACAGTCAACATTTAGTAAATATCAACTGTTTCTCATACCTAAGTGATGACTTTGTAGTAGGCATGAAGCAAGGTCAACAACTGTTGAAAATAAATGAGATTTTCATTTTACTGACAGTGTTTTGGAAAATGTTTAAGAATAATTCTGTGTACCATATTAACAGATGGTCCTGTACTATATGATGGTCCTTTACCATCATATTTGCAAATTAGTATTATAGAATCTTATGAAGTGGAACTCTAAATTGCTCTTAAATATGAGACAAATCTTTGTTCAGTATTTATAAATATGGCAGAGATTACATGGTTTTGTAAATATTTCTCAAAAACTGATTTAAATAAAGTCTGAGCTCCTAACTCTAATATGTTTCCAATGTTTTTTGGAAGAAGTTATTTCCTTCTCACTATCACCTAACTCCAAAACAAATGGATAGAGAGTGATGCGATGTTGATTTCAAAGCCCCTAGGAACCATGTTAAGTGAGCCCCACTAAGTAAGGCAGCCTAGAAAACAAACAATAGCTTGCAACATGTGTCCACTCAAGAGATAATCTCTGTCATCAAATCTCTAATTTACCTCAGTTTGTAGAAAGGGTTTCAGAAATTGACTTATTTTATAAGGGTAATATATTCAGGTGAAGGAAACAGTGCAACTGTTCAAATACATACATAAGCAATACATAAGGATTACAAAGTGTGTCTCACTACACAATTGAGCATGTATCATTTCACCAGTGAGAAGAAACATCTACTAAAGAGAATTTAGGAAAAGAAACTTCACAGAATTGTCAGTCCCAGGCAGCAGTTACTTTCTAGATCAGGAAATCACAAAGGGTTTTCTGCAAAGGACCAGGTCAAGTATTTTAGGCTTTGCAGGCTGTCTAGTTTCTGTCCTAGGCAGTCACCTCTGCCAGAGTAGCTCAAAAGCTACTACAAACGCATAAAGAAATGGGTGTGGCTGTGTTCCAATAAAACTGTGGTAACAAAAAGAGGGAAGTGGGGCATATTAGGCCCATTTGCTAAGGTTTGCTGAAATTCTGTTCTAGTTGCTATCTAAAATTAGAGATCTGTAAAATCTGAAAACTTTAGGACAAATACCTCATTAAGGTGTCTGTTGATTTAAACGGTCCTTGCAGCCTTAGGTGTATTTATCATAGCGTGCAACCTAATGGAAAAATCAATTGTACATTTAGTAAATTTTCTTGCCACAATCTGCAAAAATGTGAAAAATGATCCTCCAGCATCAAAGAAATGGAAAGATGCTTTTTAAAAAAGCAAAAGTATTTTAGATGAGAAAAATTTAATGAAAAGCAGCTGTGATAACTAATATTTTGTCATAAGGTAAAATAGATAATATGAAGCTGTAAGATACGGCAAATTTATTTTATTTTGAAATACTGAAAAATTTTAATTGGAAAGGTAGGACATGAAATTTAAGATTTTGATCATAATCATGATTCTCAATAAAAAAATTGTAAAAAAACATATCTCATTTCCTTAAGGAGGATACTTATTGTTTCTAATTAGCCTTAGGCATGAGATAAATGATTTCACTTCTAGAAAGATTTCTCCTCTAATCAAGAAACTTGAGCTTACATTTTTTTCAGAATCTTTTGCTTGAACCTC